ACTTTACCCATTAGGGCTTTTGTTTGCAGGGTTATTAATAATAATACAACGTACACTTGCATTGTGCCTTTTAATAACACATGGGAACCCTGTCAAAGTGTCCTTCGCTTATTGCGTTTGTGTCCTGGGGGTCCATACTAACCACTGTCAGATCACTGCTGACGTCACTTCCTGCACATTGCACACATATGTGTCTCTGATGCCACTTCCTGGGTATTATACACAGGAAGTGTCAAGAAGTCACTTCCTGGGCCCGTCCACATAATAATAATCCTTGCATTTGATATAGTGTTAGTGAGACATCTCAAGAGCTTCACATAATATATTGTAAAGTGGAGTGACTGTATTTGTGGGCAAAACGTCACTTCCTGTTTATTGTGTATACGCACACACAGGAAGTGTCGCTGTTGATGATTGAACAAGAAGTGACATCATCATCAGCTGTGCCCTGTTATAACGGGCTGTAAATTTGCAGACATAAACAATAACTTGCATTTATATAGAGCCCCTCACACAGGGTAGTGTCCCTGAGCACTTCAAGTTACTATGTGGGTGTGGGTGTTTGTGAGTGGTGTGGGGGTGGGTGAGTGGTGTGGGGGTGGGTGGGTGTGGTGGGTATGTGTGGGGTGAGTGGTGTGGGGGTGGGTGGGTGTGGGTGGGTATGTGGTGTGTGGGTGAGTGGTGTGGGGGTGGGTGGGTGTGGGTGGGTATGTGTGTGGGTGAGTGGTGGGGGGGGTGGGTGTGGGTGGGTATGTGTGTGGGTGTGGCGTGTGGTGAGTGGTGTGGATGTGTGGTGGGTGTGTGGATGTGTGCGTGTGCGCAGGGGGGTTGACTGTAACCATTAACGATATAAACTCAGTGATGGGGAGACGTCACCTCTTCGGCCAGTGCCCTGAGCCGGGCTAGCCAGTCCTCAGCCTGCTCCAGCACGCTCTCCAGGTCAGCCCCCTCCTGGTGTTTCAGGGCCTCGGCAGCCATCACAATCTGCTCCAGGTTAGTGCTCCGCAGGCGATGTGTGTGCTTATCCAGCGGTGTTGCCGACGGCACCGTGTGCACCATCGGTAACTGATCGCTGCGAGAGCAACGGTGGAGAGGGGGTGAGACAGGAACCAGCACACACACCTCCCACACACCCCATCTTCACGCACACACCCCATACACTCTGCCCCCATACATCTCTCTCCCACTCTCTCCTTCCCTTTCCTCCCCATTCTCTCATTTCCCCTCTCTTTCTCCTCCCCCCGGCACTCTCACTCCCTTCTCTCCCCCTCTCTTTCTTCCCCCTCTCCCCCACCCTCTCTCTTTCTCTCTCTCTACACCCTGTCTTTCTTCCCACCTCTTTGTTTTCCCCTCCTTCTCTCCCCACCCCCCCCCCCCCCACCCCTGCTATGGTACCTGCAGTCTGTGATCACGATGTCGAGGAGCTCAGACACCCGGGTGCACACCTCCCCAGAGGCTCTCTTGCTCTTCATAGCCTGATAGGCCATCTCCAGGCTCAACTCCTGCAAACATGTCAGCATATGTATCACTGCAACACACGACACCAACAACACACAACAACAACTTGCACTTATATAGCGCCCTTCACACAGGGTAGTGTCTCAGAGCGCTTAACAGTGGCGGAGCCTGACTCCGAGCCGGGGAAGGGGGGAGGTGGCCATAAGCACGGTCGAAGTGGAAAGTTTTCAGGCGGGCCTTGGGAAAGAGGAGAGAGGGGACAAGGCAGAGGGATTGAGGGAGAGTGTTCCAGAGTCTTGGGGCGTAGTGGCTGAAAACACGATCTCCGATGGTGGAGCGGAGGGTGCGAGGGATGAGCAGGAGGCCGGTGCCAGTCAAGTGGAGACGCCGGGTGGTGGATTGGGGAGTGGAGAGGTAGGGAGGTGCCAAGAGTGAATGGATTTGAACACGAGTGTGAGGATCTTGAAGTTGATCTGTTCGGTGATGGGGAGCCAGCGGAGCCTGGCCAGACTGGTGAGATGTGGGTACAGAGTTTGGTCTGGGTCAGTATGGGAGCAGCAGAGTTTTGAATCAGCTGGATCTTTTGAATGGTGGAGCTGGGGAGACCGGCGAGGAGTGCGTTTGAGTAATTCAGGCGGGAGGTGAGAAACACATGCACAAGGGTTTCGGCTGCATTTGGGATGAGGTACGGTCAGAGGCAGGCAATATAGCTAAGGTGGTGCCGGACCGGGACCGGATGTGGGGGAGGAAGGACAGCTGGGGGTCGAACTGGAGGCCTAGATTGCACACTGGTTCAGTGAGTCTGAGGAAGAGCCCACGGAGGTTGAGGAGTTTAGCTCCACAGGAGTGAAGACGTTGACGAGAGCCAAGGCGTATGGCTTCCGCCTTGTCCATATTCAGCTGCAAGAAGCCCACAACACAGTAACGTTCAACACCGCAGCATGGCGACACAACAACTTGTGTTTCTGCAGGGCCCTTCCCGCAGGAGAGTGTCTCACTGCGCTGCGCGGGGGCAGTTTTGGGATGCTGAACGACAGAGAAAAGCGCAGTCCAACAGGTAGGTCTTAAAGAGGGAATTAAACCTTGATAAAGAGACTTGTCTCTTGCAACACAACAACAATTTGCATTTATATAGTGCCCATCACGCAGGGTAGCATCACAGAGCACTTGACAGTGGTGGAGCATGATGCCAAGGGAGGAGGGAGAGGTGACCATAGGCACAGTCGAATAGGACGGTCTTCAGGCACGACCTGAAGTTGGGGAGGATTGAGGGAGAGAGTTCCAGAGTTTTGGGGCGTAGAGGCTGAAAGCGCGACCATGGATGGTGGAGTGGAGGATACAAGGGACAAGTGGGAGGTTGAGCGGAAGCATTGGTTATTGACATACAGCAACACAGTTATACTGCAGCACAGGAAAATCACAATAAAGCAGCAACACAGCCCCGCAGTGTCTCGTGTGCAGTGTTTACCAGCCTTTCCACGGCGTTGAGCAGCATATTCAGGGTGTCCATCCTGTGGGTAATATCCTCCCAGTATGACGAGAGCACCACCACCGGCTTAATGTTCCCCCAGGGCAGGAAATAATAGTGACAGCCTGATACACAAAGATAACAACAATGTACAGTTAGACTGCAGCTGTCTTGTTGGGAGGACATCTCAAAGTGCTTCAAAGTCTGGGCACCCAAGCTGGTAACAGTGTGGGGTGGGTGGAAGGTAATCTGTTGTGATTGAAGGCAAATTTCTTAAGATGTGTTTTAAAGGGAGGGAGGGAGGGAGGACAAATAGGAGTGAACCCGGATGGAGTTTACTGTATATTCTGTGAAGCGCTTTGAGATGTCCCAACGACAAGATAATGCGCTATATCAAATGTAACGATTATTATTATCATAACTGAATGAGGCAAACGGGTGCTTTCAACCCAGTGTGACCTCTGCCCCAGGTAGCCATTTTGCCCGGCATTACGAACAACAATAACAACAACAATGACACATTACATTTACACAGTGCCTTTCACATCAAGAGGACGTCCCAAGTTGCTGGACAGTCATGGATTTGAACGCGAGCTGGGGGTTGAGATCAGGGGAATGGAGGGCAGGGAGAATAGGGGTAGAAGGATGATCGAAGGCGCGGTTGAAGAGGAGGGTCTTGAGACGGGGCCTTGAAGGAGGCAAGGGAGAGGGCGAGGCGGAGCGGCTGTGGGGAGGAGTTCCAGAGGGTGAGGGCAGAGAGGCTGAGTGGCCCACCCCGATCGGCCAGACTCACCGTCGAACACGGCGCGGCTGTACTGGGTGGTGGAGGCCAGCGGGAGGCAGGTGGTGTCGAACTTGTTACCGTAGTTACCGATGCTGACCTCGAACTGGATGGCATCGGCCACATCCTGCAGCATGGTAGCCGAGTAGAAGGTGGCGCACAGGTAGAACTTCCGTCGGCGCAGAAACTTCTACATGGTGAGAGACACGGCAGACATGGTGTTAGAGCTCGACCGTTCAAAGTGAGAGCATAAAACAAAACATTTTATATGAATAATTTCAGCGTTTGATACAGCACCAAGAGGGAAGAACGTCTCACAGCGAGTCACAGGATTTCATTGTAGAGTGTAGTGACTGTGTGTTTTGTGGGCAGACAGTTTGCACACTGCAATGTCCCCACAAATAGGTGTGAAGTGAGTGACTGTTTTTATCCAGGGGATTGTCAGCCAGGACACCGGGAAAGAGAAACTCCCTTCTCTTTTCCAACAGCACCTGTGGGATCTTTAACATCCACCTGAACAGAGAACAGACGGGAGCTCAGTTTAATGTCTCATCTGAAGGACGGCATCTCTGACAATGTGGCACTCTCTTCCCCCCAGGACTGCACTAGTGTCAGCCTGGACTGTGAATTCAAAGACACGGAGGGTCGAACCCACAACCTCCTGAATCAGAGGCGAAAGTGACTGATCTGGGTGGCCGTGCCTTCAGCCACTGTGCCCTGAGGCTCTGGAATTCCCTTCCTCACTCTCTTCGCCTCGCTCCCTCTCTTCCTACTTTCAAGTCTCTGCTGAAGACCTTTCTCTTCAACTGCGCCTTTGGTCACCTTCCTCTCCATTACTGTAAAGCGCTCTGAGACACTGTCCAATGTGGAGAGTGCTATATAAATCCAAGTTGTTGTTATTGAGACTCTGACACATTGTTAACAATCCTGGCTTATAGTCATATAACACCTTATCACATTCTTGAGATGTCTCAAAGAGCTTCACAGAATATACTGTAAAGTGAATTGACTGTATATTTTGTGGGCGAAACGCAGAATCCATTTGTGCACAGCAGTGTCCCACAAACAGTCGTGGATTGAGTGACTAAAATTTTATTTTTTAGGAGAGATTATTACCCCAGAAAGTGATCTGCCAATCGATTAACAACCGGGATCCTTCTTACTGCTGGGTGAACAGAAACACGTGGAGTAAGAAAACTTGCCTAAGGTTTCGCCCTGACCGGGAATTGAACATAGGTCCTTTCAATTGTGAGATGAGTGCTCTAACCACTGAGCTACAGGGGTGGGGGGATCTTGGGGGGGAGGCGGGATAGTTACCTCTAATCGGAAGAGATCGTCGGATGGAATGTCTTCAATCTTCTGCTCGGTGCGCTCCGTTAGCATAGTGTTCATCTCCAGCAGCACCCGGCCTCGGTATGCCATTCCCTCACTCTGAGAGACGTGTGGGGTGAGAGAGTGAGGGAGAGAGAAAGAGTGAGTGTGTGTGTGTGTGTGAGAGAGAGAGAGAGAGGGAGAGACAGAGTTAGCGAAAAAGTGAGAGATGAGAAAGATAATGAAAGTAAGAGATAGAGAGAGTGAGTGAGAGAATATGAGAGAGTGACAGAGAGAAGCGATAGAGTGACAGGGAGAGGGTGAGGATAAGCCTCACTGGGTGGGGAGAGAGAGAGGAAGGGAGAGAGCAAGAGAAAAAGTTCGAGAAAGAGCGAGAGAGAGTGTGTCTGAGAGAGAGGGAGTGAGTGAGGGAAAGAGTTAGAGAAAGATTAAGAGCGTGAGAAAGAGTAAGAGTGTGAGAGCAAGCAGCAGAGAGAGTGACAGAGAAGAGATAGAGTATGGAGAGAGATTGGGGGTGAGAGTGAGCCTCGCTGAGGGGGGGAGAGAGCAAGGGAGAGAGAGAAAGTTAGGAGAGAGAGGGAGGGAACCAAAGAGTTAGAAAAAGAGTGAGAGAGTGAGTAAGAGTGTGAGAGAGAGTGCGTGGGAGAGTATGAGAGCCATGATCTTATAGAATGGCGGAATAGTCTCAAAGGGCTGAATGGCCTTCTCCTGTTCTTATGAGAGAGTGTGTGAATGAGTGTGAGAGTGACAGAGTGGGTGTGAGAGAGTGACAGAAAGAGAGAAGGGATAGAGTGACAGAGAGGAGAGAGAGTGACAGGAGAGGTTGGGGTGAAGTGTCCGTACCTTCCCAAGATTCATATCCACGTAGGGGTCGGGGAAGCCAGTGAACTCCCGGGGGCTGCCGTACAAGTTCAGGAAACACGGGCCGAAGGTTGGCAGGTAACCCAGGCCGTCATCCACTGTTGGGAGTTAGAAAATCAATCACCAACTAATCAATCTACCCATGAACCAACCAATTAACCCAACTATCGATCAATATTATATAATAATATTTTTTGCATTTGATATAGATTATATTGTAAAGTGTAGTGACTGTGTATTTTGGGGGTAAAACGTAGTAGCCAATGGCGCACAGCAGTGTCCCACAAACGGTTGTGGATTGAGTATCCATATATTTTTTTGAGGGATTATTACCCCCGGAAAGCAATCTGCCAATCGACTAATAAATGGGTTCCTACTTACTGCTGGGCAAACAGAGACGTGTGGAGTAAGGAAACTTGCCCCACCGGGGAATCGAACCTGGGTCCTCTCGCTTGCAAAGTGAGCACATTAACCACTACATTATGGGGACACGTAACAACCAATCAATAACAGGAGAAAGTGACACAACTTACACTGAGCCTCATAACACAGAGTCCGGTCCGGCATCTTCAGGCACTCGTGGAAGTACACAACATTTCCTAACAGATTTCCATGTGAAAATTAGCACATGGAAATCCATGAAGCAATGGCAGAATTCCAAGCAGTAATCACACCCCCACTCCAGCACACCTGATGTCATCTCCATCTCTTTCATTTGTGAAGCAAGTGACCTCAGTGGAGCTTCCTGCACGGAGCGCGCATGCACATTGCGCAGGAAGTAACATCAGCGGTGACCCGTTGACCTTGGAAGTTGGCCTTTTGTTTACGTGTGCCTTGTTTTGATGCAGCGTCTGAGATCGTAGACTCAGAACACCGCATTATTATTTTTTTTTTGTCCTCCTTAAAAGTATCCAAACCAAACTTTCCCGCTACTTGTCCAACCAGGACCACCCTACCAGTTAGGGCTTTGGCTGAGATGGAGGATTCCCCGCCCCCAGTGACTGGTCTGCCCTTCCAAACCCTGCCGATGAGCCAGGCTGGGCTGTGCTGTCAACAGCAGTGCCCTGGAATACTGCGGACCCGCCCGGCTCAGGAGCCAGAGGGTGGACTCGATTCCGACATTCCATTGCCAAATATGTTACCACTGCATTATAACTGGTCAGGTGCAAGAATACATCTGACCGCAGTACCTCTTACTGCCAGGAGATAGTGCTCTTGCTTAATGCATGTGCTCAACATGGCTATCTGCAGCTTCTCATGGTGCACTGTTCCACCGTGTGTGAGTTGTTGAACACGGAAGGTGTTGAGTGCTCAGCTGCAAACACACGGCCAATTGGTCACTCTGCCTCAGGACTCCCCACTGGTACCCAACCAGGCCTGAGGCATTCCCGAATAATACAATTAATAATAATAATAATCCTTGCATTTGATATAGCGCCTATCACGTTGTTGAAAAGTCTCAAAACTCTACACAGAATATTTTGTAAAGTGTAGTGATTGTATATTTTCTGGGTGAAATGAGGCAACCAATTGCACACAGCAGTGGCCCACAGTCATGGATTGAGCAATTTTTTGGGGGGGATTATTATTCCTGAAAAGCGATCCACCAATTGACTAACAACTGGGTTCCTATTTATTGCTAGGTAAACAGAGGTACGTGGAGTAAGGAAAGTTGCCTAAGGTTTCGCCCCACCCAGGAATCGAACCTGGGTCCTCTTGCTTGCTCGCTCTAACCACTATGCTACGGAATGAGTCAAGCTTTGCCATCCAATGGACAGGATAACATTCCAATATGGCTGCCGACTCGTCCTGCCTCATTGTTGCTCAACTTCATTAACCTCCCGTCACACGAACATCAGGCTCCACACAGTCAACATGCAGCTCACAACCGCAATCAACCCCAAAACAACTGCTGTCACCATAACCGTCTGCAACACCCAAACCATCACCACAACAATTTGCAGTTATATAGTGCCCCTCACGCAGGGTAGCATCCCAGAGCGCTTCATCATAGACATCACCAAACTCATAGGAACATAGGAGATGATCGATTATGGCTGATCTGCATCTCGACTCCAATTGCCTGCCTTTACCCCATATCTCTTGACACCATTAACAACTCATAGCCATTACTAATCCCATCACCAAGCTCATAGACATCACCAAACCATCACCTTCTCCAAATCGACCCCATCACTTAATTAATGACACAATAATAATAATAATAATAATCCTTGCATTTGATATAGCGCTTTTCACGTTGGGAGGACGTTCCAAAGCGCTTCACAGAACACACTGTAAAGTGAATTGACTGTATATTTGTGGGCGAACGCAGCAGCCAATTGCGCACAGCAATGTCCCACAAACAGTCATAGATTGAAAATGACCAATTTATTATTTTTTTTATATATACTCTTTAAGTGGTACTGTTATTCGCAAGACACAACTAAACCCAGGTTCTGTTGGGTGATATAGACGAACATCACAGATAGCATAGGACTGTTTCAAAGGAATACAGGAGAATCTGTGTTAGGCCCTGCTTTTGAGTCCCATCACTCACTCACAATAGCTGAATCCAAGCACAAACTGGTGAGTATGGAGGTTGTGGAAAGAGAGTGGGGGGGGAGGGGTGTTATTTGGTGGGACCCACAGGTACCTCAAAGTCCCAAGGAGATATAGCATCAGAAAAAGATCTTCCCTGCTTCCCAGCAAACAGCCTCAGAAATACATTCCTCACATCCAGGAACTACATGCATGTCATGTTACCAGCTCACTCCAAAGGCTGAAACTTGCAGGATTATCTCTCAAATCACAGCAAGGGAACCTCATTGACAGGCACACATGCAAGTTAATCCCAAGAAAGACAGGAACCTACGGGCATTGACAGCCTGGGATCTCGCTGGTGCATCGTCTGGAGCAGAGAGAAAGGGAGAATATTAAATGGGGCGTTTGGAAGGACAGTATGATGATGACAAGAGGAGGGAGAGAGAAAAAGAGGGAGGGAGTGAGACAGAGTGGGAGGGAGACAGAGAGGAGGGAAGGAACAGGCGAGGAGGGAGGGAGAAATGGAGGAGAGAGGGTGGGAGGGAAAGAAGGAGGGGTGAGAGTAAGGAGGGAGTTGGTGACAAGAGGGAGGGAGAAAGGAATGAGGGAGGTAGACAGGTTTGGAGGGAGGAAGGGAGAGAGGGATGTTTTGTTAACTGAGCTCACTTGCAACAGAATTTCCTGGTAAAATAAAATAATCCTCACATTCGATTCGGCATCTTATAATGTCAAAAAGCTTTGCAAAGCTTTTTCTCTCATGTGTAGTGACAATTATGTAGGGACACTCGCCAGGTAATGTCCCACAAACAGCCATGAGGTGAATGGCTGATGTTATCTGGGAGATTGTTGGCCAGGACACCAGGAGAAATTCACTTCTCTTTTCCAACAGCACTGCGGGATATTAATAATAATCCTTGCATTTGATACAACGCCTTATGACGTTCTTGAGATGTCCATCAATGCGCTTCAGAGAATGTATTGCAAATTGGAGTGACTGTGCATTTTGTGGGTGAAAAGCGACAGCCAATTACACACAGAAGTGTCCCACAAACAGTAAGTCTTTAAAGTCTGCCTGAACAGGCACAGACGGGGAGATCGATTTAACAACAACAATAACAAAATTACATTTGTAAAGCGCCTTTCACGTCGGGAGGACATGTCACGTGAAGGATGACTTCTCCGAAAATGCAGCGCTCCCCCAGCACCGCATTGGAGCGAGCCTGGTCTGTGACCAGAGCAGGGACACGCGTGTATGTGTGTTCCCTTGTTCCGCCGCTCACCTTCGATCTCTCCCCCGGAGGCTGAGATCTTTGACATACACAGATAGGTCGTCCCCACCACATCGTTGTGAGTCAAGCGATCCCTGTCGGAAATAAATCACATCCCAATCAACTCTCACCATCTGCTCCCTGGGATTCTCTCCCAAAGCTCTGACTCCAACCTCTTCCCTCCCGCCCAGAGCCCCACCTCCCACCCTCCATCCCAGAGTCCCACGTCCCACCCTCCCTCCCAGAGCCCTGCCTCCCACCCGCCATCCCAGAGGCCCGCCTCCTACCCTCCCCCACACCAGAGGTTCGCCTCCCCCCAAAGGCCCACCTCCCACCCTTCCTCCCAGAGGCCCACCTCCCACGCTCCCCCCCCAGAGGCCCGCCTCCCACCCTCCCCCCCAGAGGCCCGCCTCCCACCCTCCCCCCCCAGAGGCCCGCCTCCCACCCTCCCCCCCCAGAGGCCCGCCTCCCACCCTCCCACCCAGAGGCCCGCCTCCCACCCTCGACCCCCAGAGGCCCGCCTCCCACCCTCCCCCCAGAGGCCCGCCTCCCACCCTCCCACCCAGAGGCCCGCCTCCCATCCTCCCACCCAGAGGCCCGCCTCCCACCCTCCTACCCTCCCTCATTAAGGACTTACCAGTCGATGATGCGGACTCTCAGCCTCTCACACATTGAGGGAAACTGTTCAAAAGAAAGTAAGATCATAGTGAATCCTGAGGTGGGTTGAGCTGAGCTGAAATGGATTGGGTTGAGGTGATGTAGGGTGAGGTAACATAGGTTGAGGTTACATGTAACGCGGAGACATTGTGTTACCCGCCCTCCACCCCTCCTGATGCCATACCCCAGCTCGGGTCCAAATCCCTGACTGTCCAGCACCTTGGGATGCCCTCCCGATATAAAAGGCGCTGTACACATGTAATTTGTTGTTCGGTAAATGATAGGCGTCTCCAGCCACTTACCCTGATTGGCAGCACAAGGCTTTGGTTCCATTGAGGGTTGGCATTTTTCTCCATGATCTTGCTGCACACCTGAAATACATACAGAAAGAAGATCACAAGGTAGGTTTGTATAAAGAAGTCCCTTTGGCCATTTGATCTCATCTTTCCAGAATCCCCACCATTCTCCCATTACAGCATTAAGCTCTATTATAGATTCCCAATGTCCTGGTCTCAACCACCCTTCCTATTTTCAACTGTTGTTAAACTCTGGGTAAAGAAATACTTCCTGGTGGCTGCCATGAAACTGTCCCTCACACCCCTGAACTTGCACCCTCTTGTTCTGCTGTCAATGCATGTCTGAAGGTATCGTTCTGGGTTTACTTTCTTAATCAAATATAAAATGTTACACAACTTCATAAAGTCCCCTCTGAGGCGTCTCCTCTCGACACTCAAGTGCCCAAGCTGTCTTTAACACTGAGGATCAGCCTCATTGCTCTCCTCTACATTGCCAGTACTCAGTACTCCAGGTGTGAGCTGAGCTGGGCTGATCCACACTGAGCCGGGCTGACACATACACTGAGCCAGGCTGACACACACACTGAGCCGGGCAGACACACACACTGAGCAGGGCTGACACACACACTGAGCCAGGCAGACACACACACTGAGCCGGGCTGACACACACACTGAGCCGGGCAGACACACACACTGAGCCGGGCTGACGCACACACTGAGCCGGGCTGACGCACACACTGAGCCGGGCTGACGCACACACTGAGCCGGGCTGACGCACACACTGAGCCGGGCTGACGCACACACTGAGCCAGGCTGACACACACACTGAGCCGGGCTGACACACACACTGAGCCGGGCTGACACACACACTGAACCGGGCTGACACACACACCGAGCCGGGCTGACGCACACACCGAATCGGGCTAACGCACACACCGAGCCGGGCTGACGCACACCGAAGTGTCGACTTACCGTCTTCCCAGCGAAGCTGACCTCCACAAAGGGATCCACCAGGTTCTTCTTGTTGCTGTCGAATCCAAATATTTGCTTCACACTGTCCAGAACTGCGTCATCCACTGTGTGAGAGTCAAACCAGAGTTAGACACAGATTAAAGCTCTCTCTATACTGTCCGTCCACACTCCCAGGTCAGTGACAGCACGAGTTAGAGACAGAGTAATAATAATAATAATCCATACGTTTGAAAAGCACCTCATCAAGTCATCGAGATGTCTCAAAGTGCTTCACAGAATATACTGTAAAGCGGAGTGACTGTGTAATTTGTGGGCGAGACAAATCTCTGACAATGAAGCGCATCCCTGGCCTTGCACTGGTGGGTCAGCCGGGACTATGAGCTCAAAGTCTTTGACGTGGGTGAAGGGCGGGGTTCGGTGGGGTTAGAACGCACAACCTCCTAACGCGGAGGTGAAAGTGCTTCACAAGGATCCTAGCTGCCCAGAATCATGTCTGGTCAGCACATCCATCACCCCCAGTCACACACCCCTCACCCCCAATCATACATCCCTCATCCCCAGTCACACAACCCTCATCCCCAATCACGCACCCCGCACCCCCAATCACGCACCCCGCACCCCCAATCACACACCCTTCACCCCCAATCACACACGCCTCACTCCCAGTCACACATATTTCACACTCCCAGTCACACACCCGTCATCCCCAACCACACACCCCTCATCCCCAATTACACACCCCTCATCCCCAGTCATACATACCTCATCCCCAGTCACACATACCTCACTACCCTCACACAGCCCTCACCCCAGTCACACACCACTCAGCAACAAAAAAATTACATGTGTTTAGCGCCTTTCACATTAGGAGGCCGATCCAAGGCGCTGGACAATCAGTGTTTCAGACCTGGGCTGGGGATTGGGGAGGGTGGAAAGGAGGGTGACCGAGGTGTGATGGGAAGCCAGTGAAGTCAGGTGAGGATAGGGTCGCAGAGTCTGATGCACGAGAGGACACGGGCTGCAGAATTCTGGATGATCTGCAGCCTATGGAGGAAAGAGTTGGGGAGGCCGACAAGCAAGGAGTTTGCATAATCGAGCCTGGATGTTATGAATGCGTGTATGAGGGTCTCGGCGGCCTGCGGTGTGATAGTGGCGGAGCCAGGCGATGTTGCGGAGGTGGTGGAAGGCAGAGCAGGATATGGCATGGATGTGGGGTAGAAAGGATAATTGAAGGTCAAACAAGACTCCAAGGTCCTAGACTGGCTTAGTGAGGTGGAGTGTGCATCCATGGATGGTGATGCTGTCAGCGCCTGAGGTGAGCCAATCGGGAGCCTCGGTCTTGTTGACGTTCAGCTGTAGAAAGTTAGCTCCATCCAGGACTTGATGTCTGACAGACATTCTGTCAGGACAGCAGTGGTCCTGGAGTCAAGGATGGAGGCACAGAGGTAGAGTTGGGTGTCATCCACACACATGTGGAAATTGACCGCATGAATGTCACTTAGTGGACTTAGCAGGTCACAGCGGATGATGTCACCGAGGGAGCATATAGATATTGAAGAGGAGGGGACCAGGGACAGAACCTTGAGGAACACCGCACAAGACAGTGTGGGGGCTAGAGGAGAAGCCATTTGTGGAGGTGAAGTAAAGACGGCGCGAGAGATACGATCTGAACCATTCAAGGACAGAACCATGAAAGTTGAGGTGAGAGGAGAAGCGGTGGAGGAGGATAGAGTGGTCAACAGCACCCCGAGTCACACACCCCCAGTCAAACACGCTCACACCTCATAGTTAATCAGCACATCCTTCCCCAATACCCCTCCCCCAGTGCGGGCAATGCCCACATACTCTGTGGAAGATCCTCCGCCCGGTAAAGCTTCAGTGTGAAGTAGGCTCCACGCAGGGCCACCCCTGATGGCCGCAGTAAGTTGGTCTCAATGTCCTCACGGTCCTCCAGCAGCTCTTTTCTCTCCAGCTGCCAACAGCACACAGGAAGGTCAGGGTCAGTGTCAAGGTCAGTGTCAGAGTTCAACAACAACAACAACAAATTACATGTGTACAGCGCCTTTCACTTCGGGAGGATGTCCCAAGGTGCTGGACAGTCAGGGATTTGGACCCAAGCTGAAGGTTGGGATCAGGAGAGGTGGTGGGCAGGGAGGGTAGGATGGTGAATGAAGGCACGGTTGAAGAGGAGGATCTTGAGACGTGCCCTGAAGGAGGCAAGGGAGGGGGCATGGTGAAGGGAATGTGGGATGGAGTTCCAGAGTATGGGACAGAAAGGCTGAAGGGTCGACGGCCGATGGTGGGGTGTGCCAGGCGGGGAACGTGGAGTAGGCCTGCTGAGCGGAGGGATCGGACAGGTCTTTATGGACTTAGCAGGTCACAGAGGTGGGGAGGAGCAAGGCCACTGAGAGCTTTGAAGGCGAGGACAAGGATTTTGAATTCTATCCTCTGGGGGATGGGGAGCCAGTGGAGCCGGGCGAGGGTGGGGGTGACGGGGTCACGGAGCCTGGTGTGGGAGAGGACACGCTGCAGAGTTTTGGATGATCTGCAACTTGTGAAGGGAAGAGTTGGGAAGGCCGACAAGCAGTTAGTTGGCTTAGTCCAGCCTAGATGTAATGAATGCATGGATGAGGGTCTTGGTGGCCTGAGGGGAGACAGTGGCAGATCCAGTCATTGTTGTGGAGATGGGGGAAGGCAGAACAGGTCATGGCACAGATGTGGGGCTGTGTTACAGTCAGCGGTCAACATTAGTGTCATGGTCAGCATCAGGTTCCACTCTCCCTCCATCCCTGCCCGCAGCCCTTCCCCCACATCCCTCCACCAAAAGCGAGAGTTGAAGACTCAGACACTCACAGGAGCCTCATCGCCGGCTGCCAGCACACACAGGCTGACCTTCAGGTAGCCTTTGGCCCCAGCAGACAGGTCATCAGGGTCACAGAGAAGGAGCCACTTCCTGAGGAAGGCATGTCCTGGCATTCGGAAAAATTACGTAATAATAATTCTTACATTTGAAACAGCACCTTATCACATCGTTGAGACGTCGCAAAGCGCTTCATAGAATATATTGTACTCTAAACTATGGGATTCCACCTCCCTAAGGTGCCCTCTGAGTCACCTTGCCTCCAGACTGAAGAGCCCGAGTTTGTCTAATCGTTGCTCACAGCTCATTCCTCTAACACTAGGGCTCAGCCGCGTTGCTCTCCTCTGCACTGTCTCTAGGGCCTGAGCAGCCCCTTATGTCAGTGACTAGAACTGTCTGCGGTGTTCAAGGTGAGGCCTGACCCGAGCCCTGTCCAGTGTGACGTCTGGGGATCTGAATACAATAAATAATGATCGTCACAGCATCGTTTAAGTTAAGTGTGTTTTGTAGGCAAATGCGGCAAACAATTTTATGCACAGCAACAGCCATGGAATGAATGACCTCTTTTTTTTATCCGGGGGATTGTTAGCCAGGACACCAGGAGAGAGAAACTCCCTTTTCTTTTTTAACAGTTGCCATGGTATTTTTAATGACCACCTAAACACAGACGGGACCTCGGTTTAACATCTCACCTGAAAGACGGCACCTCCAACAATGCAACACCACCCCACCCCAGCACTGCACTGGAGTGACTATGTGAATCCAAGTCCCAACGTGGGGCTTGGACCCACAACCTTCTGACTCAGAGGTGAGAGCACTACCGACTGAGCCAGACTGAAACAACAATCATCAGTGAGCAAGCTTTCAGCCACTTTCAGCTTGATTTCCAGGGCTCACTCCTAAATCCATCCATCTCTCCAGCCCTCCCCCTCCATCTCTTTCAAAACCCATTTAAATGTGTTTAGCCACACTTTCAGCCAATCTACTACCCACCCAACTCCTACTGTTAAGAATAATCCTTGCACAATAATCCTACAGCGCCTTTCACTGGGAAGTGGAGTTGACTGTATTTTGTAGGTGCAGGAAGTGATATTGTCAGCGGCAACACGATGTCCCAGAAGTCAGCCATTTCCTTTGCTCTATAAAGCTAGTTGTTGCTTCAAAGCGAGACGACCAACTTACTGCGCACATTTTTTTAGCAGATAAGCATGGAGGTCCAAGCCCCAATCCCACAGTTAGTGAACCCATATTATAACAATGTACACTGCAGTGCCGTGTATTGACCCTTACATTACTTACGTGGTTCGGAGTAAACTGCCCCAATATCCAGCTGAAACAAAAGACCAAAAGAACACTGACTCGGGAATCCTTTGAGACGTCAAGTGCAGTCACAGAACCAACTGCAAGCAATTTGTTTTATTTTACCTTAAATTCTCCGATGACGGAATCCGTGCGCATGGAACGGGAGTTGAAGACCTGCAGGACAGGAGAATGAGAGTCCAAGACGGCATCTAATCAGTGAGTTACATTTACACAAAGCGTTCAATAACCACAACAATTTAATCATAATAATAATGATCCTTACATTTCATATAGTGCCTTATCACGTCACTGAGACTTCTCAAATTGCTTTATAAAATATATTGTAAAGTGGATTGACTGTGGGCAAAACGTGGCAGCCAATCATGCACAGCAATGTCCCATAAACAGTCCTGGATTGAGTGACCAATCTTTCTTAAAAGGATTATTACCTCCGGAAAGCGATCCGTCAATCCACTAACAACTGAGTTACTGCTTACTGCTAGGTAAACAGAGGCTTGTGGAGTAAGGAAACTTCCCTAAGGTTTTACCCCACCCGGGAATCAAACCTAGGTCCTTTCCAAGGCAAGCGCACTAACAACTACACTACAGACCTCCACATTTAAATTTACAAGAATCTTTTACGTCAGAAGGACGTCTCACAGGGCTTCTCACTGCTGATGTGGAGCCCAAGCTGGGTGGTGGAGGTCGAAAGTATGTTCGAGAAGCTAGGTCTTAACACAAGCTTTTAATGTGGTTTGGGTGGGGGCAAGGTGGAGGGACTCCGGGATGGAGTTCCAGAGAACTGGGGTAGGATACTGAAAGGTCATCCACCAATGATGGGGCGGATCGAGTGGGGGACAGGAGGCAGGGATTCTTCTTACTCTACTCCCATTAACCCTGCAAGCTGGCTTATCATAACTGTGTTTGTTTCATCCACAATATATACAGTTGTTCACTTTACAGTGTATTCTGTGAAGTACTTTGAAACGTCTCGATGTGATAAAGCGCTATATCAAATGCAAAGTTTATTATTATTTAGAAGCCAAAGCCCTAATGGGTAGGGGTCCTAGCTGGACAAACCACGGGAAGGCTTGCCAGATAGTATTCTCAATGACTAGCTGTGTGGTTTTAGCTGGTTAGACTCGCAGCAGTTACCCCAACACACACTCTGGGGTCCCCAAGCTTTGACTCTTGCCAACCTGTGCCTAATACTTTCTGGAATTAGATAAGCAGTATGTATCCATCTAGGGATAGAGTGTGTATTCCATTCCAGACATAGGGAAATTCTTATATGTGGGTAACATACATATGTAGAACTTACAGACGGTGATTTTGAGACTCCTAAGCATGTTGATGGGTTTCCGTGTGGGTCAGACGCCCAGCTAATCGCAGCAGTTTCTATGTGTATTAGGGATGCACTGAATGAGTCTTGTGACCCTCAAGGGAAAAGCGTTATTTCTCAACAGATTTCCCAATGTGGTGAAAAATGAGACTACTTCAATCATTGGCTTGTCATGGCAAAACATCTCAAAGCGTTTCACAGGGAGCTGCTGTAAATTGTAGTGACAATTAATTGTGATTAATTCATTAATTGTAGTGACAATCCACGTTCCCCGCCCCACCCGCCCCACCATTGGCAGGAGAGCCTTCAGCCACTCTGCCCCCAACCTCTGGAATTCCATCCTCCAGTCACTCCGCCTCACCCCCTCCTTAGCCTCCTTCAAGTCCCACCTCAAGACCCTCCTATTCGACCATGCCATCGGCCATCCCCCTTCCCCTCCCCTCCCTTCCCCTCCCAACACCAGCTCGGGTCTGAAATGCTGTACACTGTCCAGCGCCTTGGGACATCCTCCAACGTGAAAGGCGCTATATAAATGTAATCTTGTTGTTGTCGTTGTCGTTGTGACTGTGTTTGTGCGTAAAAAAGGCACCTATTTTGCACACAGTAATGTTCCACAATTAGTCTTGAGGTGAAAGACCAGCATATCTATGGGATACAGTAAATATAAAACCACTATAACTCACATGAAATCAACCATCTGCTGCATCGACTCCATCCTTACCTCTCTCCTTACCTCCCAGCTCCACCTCCTTGACCTCTACTCACAGACATCATAAACCTCTCCCTGTCCACTGGCACCGTTCCCACCCCTTTAAAAACATCCATCATCACTCCTATCCTTAAAAACGCTCCCTGAACCCATCCCTGCTTTCAAATTACTGTTCCACCTCCAACCTCCCTTTCCTTTCCAAGGTCCTGGAATGAGTTGTTGCTTCCCAGCTTCACTCCTTCCTCTCCCGCCACTCCCTTCACAAACCCTTCCAATCGGGTTTCCGTGCCGCCCCCAGCACAGGAACAGCCCTGGTCAAATTGACAAATGACATTTTGTCCATCTGCCTCCTCGTCCTCCTTAATCTCTCTCCTGCCTTCAATACCGGTGACCACTCTATTCTCCTCCACCACCTCTCCTCTCACCTCAACCTTCACGGTTTTGTCCTTGACTGGTTCAGATCGTAACTCTTACACCGTCTCCACTTCATCTCCACAAATGGCTTCTCCTCTAACCCCCACACCATCTTGTGCGGTGTTCCTCAAGGCTCTGTCCTTGGTCCCCTCCTCTTCAATATCTATATGCTTCCGCTTGGTGATATCATCCGAAGACATGGGGTCAACTTCCACATGTATGCAGATGACAACCAACTGTACCTCTCTGCTCCACCTTTGAGTCCAGGACCACTGCTGTCCTGACAGAATGTCTGTCAGACATCAAGTCCTGGATGAGAGATAATTTTCTTCAGTTGAACATCAACAAGACTGAGGCTCTCCTGATTGACTCCTGTCAGCACCTCCACACCTCAGCACTGACAGTATCACCATCCAAGGATGGACACTCCACCTTACTAAGCCAGTCCAGAACCTTGTCATCTTGGTTGAGCCTTTCTACCCCACATCCATGCCAAGACCCACTCTGCCTTCCCCAACCTCCGCAACGTTGCAGTACTCCACTGTCTCATACCGAAGGTCCCCAAGACCCTCATACATGCATTCATAACATCCAGGCTCAAACTACACAAGCTCCCTCCTTGTCGGCCTCCCCAACTCCTCCCTCCATAGGCTGCAGATCATCCAGAACTCTGCAGCCTATGTCCTCTCCCGCACCAGGCTCTGTGCCCTATCACCCCCATCCTCGCCCGACTCCACTGGCTTCCCATAACACAAAGGAAACAATTCAAGATCCTGGTCCTCACCTTCAAAGCCCTCCATGGCCTTGCTCCCCCTACTTCTGCGACCTCCGAACCCCTACCAACCTGCCCGCTCCCTCTGCTCAGCGGGCTCCCTGCTTAACGTCCCCCATTGGCGGGCGGGCCTTCAGCCACTCTGCCCCCACCCTCTGGAGAGTGGCCAAAGCCACAGTTGAAGAGGAGGGTCTTGCGACATGCCTTGAAGGAGGCAAGGGAGCAAGCGAGGCAAAGGGAATGTGGGATGAAGTTGCAAAGGATGGGGGTGAAGAGGCTGAAGTCCCGGCAGCCGGTGGTGAGGCGGGCCAAGGAGGGGACATGGAGCAGGCCAGAGCTTGCTGAGTGGAGGAAGTGGGCAGGTTAATAAGAGGTTAGCAGGCCACTGAGGTAGGAAGGGGCAAGGCCGTGGAGGGCCTTGAAAGCGAGGACAGGGATTTTGAACTCTATCCTCTGAGGGGTGGGGAGTCAATGGAGCCGGGCAAGGGTGGGGGTGATGGGGTCACAGAACCTGATGAGGGGAGGACACACTTCTGTGAAGCGCTTTGAGATGTCTAGAAGATGTGATAAGTCACTATATCAAATGCAAGGATTACTATCATTATTATATCGGCCAGGACACTGGGTGAAACTCCTGTCCTTTTTCCAACTGCATCGTGGGATCTTTAATGTCCTGAACGGTGACAGGTGGAACCTTGAGTTTAAAGCTTCATCTGAAGGATGGAGCCTTCGATAATGTGGTGTCCTTCCCCCCCCCCACCCCAGCACTGCGCTGGAGCATCAGCCTGAACTGTGGACTCAAGCCCCAGTGCAGGGCTTGAACCCATGATCTTCTGACCCAGAGACGAGACTGGTACCCAAAAGATAACGTAGGAACATAAGAATTGCTAGAAGAAAGAAGACCAAGGGCCATCCAGTTCACCTTCCACCATCCTGGCTTTCACATGTACATGTCATGTCCCAATATACTGTATCCCACAATATTATTTCCTAACAGAAATCTAACTAATTTGTTCTTGAAAGAACCAGCACTTGCTGCTTCCACAGTCTCCCTAGGCAGCCTTTTCTATATGTTTACAACTCGCTCACTGAAGTAGTCTTTCCGCAGATTTGTTCTGAATTTACCCCCCTTCAATTGCAGGCCGTGTCCTCTGGTTCTACTGTTCTGGACAAGATGAAACAGCTTATCATGCACATTGGACTTCATCCTTCCAGAACTCCCATCCACCATCTTCTCTTCTTCATTTCTCAGACGACAATTGGCGATTGCCTCCGTGAATACTGCCCTTTAACTAAATGAAAGCACAGCGCCAGGTACTTACTGTGATGAAAATTGGCTCATTGAAGAGTTCACTGGGAGAATCATAGAAGTTAAAGAAAAATGTCTGTAACAAAAAGACAGAAATCATGAAGTTACATACAACCACTCGCACTCACACAACACCGCTCACACCACACATACATCTCAGAGCTACACAACCACTCGCACATTGATATTATCACATAATAATCCTTGCATTTGATATAGTGCCTTGTCACGTTTTCGAGACATCTCAAAGCTCTTCACAGAATATACTGTATATTTTGTGGGCAAAAACACAGCAACTTTCATAAGGTAATCTCAAAGCTGTTCAAGGGATGGAGTGTATCACCCAACAACAACAAAATTACATTTGTATAGCACCTTTCACGTCGGGAGGATGTCCCAAGGAGCTGGACAATCATTGTTTCGGACCTGAGCTGGGGGTTGGGATCGGGGAGTTTGGAGGGCGGGGGGGAAGCAGGGTGACCGAAGGCACGGTCGAAGAGGAGGGTCTTGAAATGGGTCTTGAAGGAGGCAAGGGAGGGGGAGTGAAAGATGTATGAGTGTGTGCGGGTGGCCGGCAACTGAAGTTAGTAACTGAAACCACAATCAAACAGGTAACATTCAGGAGTGGTTGGAAAGCAAGGGAAAGGTATTTTAAGAGGGAGCTGATGTGGGAAAGGCAGCGGTCAGTGTCTGAAAGCTCAGCCCCTTAATAGCGGGTTAAGCCACTGAATAGAATAATGGGATCTCGAGGGACAGTGTTTGACATTGCAGCATTCCATCAGCACTGCGTTGGGACGGCAGCTGAAACTGATCTCAAAGTCCCTGGGAATTGAGAATTGCCTTTGGGAATCTTGCGATTTAGTCTCTTGTGTACGTGTCTCGACATTCCAAAAACGTGAATATGAATAGGTACTTAAAAAGGAATGATTTGCAGGTCTATGGGGTAAGAGCATGGAGTGGGACGATGGCTTCCTTCTGTGCTGTAAGATTCTATGATTCTATGATAAGAAACAATCCTTACGTTTGATTCAACGCCTTTCACATCGGGAAGACGTCCCAAAGTGATTCATGGGATTTACTATAAAGTGTAGTGACCGTGTATTTTATAGGCAAATATGGCAGCCAATTTGTGCACAGTGGCATCCCACAAAATGAGTGACCAATTTTATCTGGGAGATTGTTGACCCGGACACCGAGAAAGAAAAACTCCCTCCTCTTTTCCAACAGCACCGCGGGATCTTTAGCGTTCACCTGAACTGGCACAGATGGGACCTCAGTTTAATGTCTCACCTTTAAAATCTCCATCAGGTTAATAATCAATCATTGACCTCAGCTCTTGTACAAGTTATGGACAATTTACTTAATGGTTTCAGACAATGTTTGACGTTACCTCGTCAAAGAATGGGTTGTTGCCTTTTCGGATGCGGGTGGTCTTGCTCTGCCCAGCAGCCGTCACCTTGACCACAGGCTTGAGGTTGATACCGGGCAACTGACGCCCTTCCACCACCCGAACTCTGACCTGGAACCAATAGAGCACAGGGTCAACATGGGTGGCCACAGAAAGTGATGTCCACACATCTGGCCATTTTGCACACAGCAATGACCCACAAACAGCTGTGATGTGATTGACCAAATAATCTCGGGGATTGTCGCCCAGGACACTGGGAGAGAGAAACTCCCTTCACTTAATCTTTAACATCCACCTGAACAGGTAGACAGGAACTCGGTTTAATGTCTCATCTGAAGGACAGCACCTCTGCTGATGCAACGCCCCCAGCCCTGCATTGCAGTGTCACCTTAAGACCTTGTGATTCTAAGTACCGACATGGGGCTCAAACCCAAAACCTTCTGACTCAGAGGTGAGAGTGCTACCCCTGAGCCAGTGTCGCACAAACAGTCGTGGATTGAATGACCAAATTATTATTATTTTTGGAGGGATTATTACCCCCGAAAAGCAATCTGCCAATCGACTAACAACCAAGTTCCTACTTACTGCTTGGTAAACAGAGGCGTGTGGAGTAAGGAAACTTGCCTAAGGTTTCGCCCCGCCCGGGAATCAAACCCGGGTCCTCTTTCTTGCAAGATAAGCCTGTCCGCTCTCTCGACTCAGCAGGTTCCGGTCTGCTCCACAACCCCCGCCCGGCCCAACCCACCATTGGCAGTCGGGCCTTCAGCCTCACTGCTCCCACCCTTTGGAACTCCATCCCACATTCCCTTCACCTCGTTCCCTCCCTTGCCTCCTTCAAGCCACGTCTCAAGATCCTCCTCTTTGACGCGCCTTCGGCCACCTCCTACTCTTCCTGCCCTCAACCTCTCCTGATCCTGACCCCCTGCTCGGGTCGAAATCCCTGATTGTCCAGCACTTTGGCACATCCCCCCGACATGAAAGGTGCTATAAAAATATAATTGGTTGTTATTGTTGTGAGTGCTCTAACCAATATGCAACAGAACTCTGTATAACAGGGTGTGATGGAGACTGTGTATAACAGGATGCGATGGTCTGACCTGGAAGTCCTGGGGTTTGTTGGGAAGGAGAGGCCGGGCTGAGTGTTTGCGTTTCCTCAGAGCCTTGCCGGAGCTCGGTGGCTGGAGCTTCGGGGCAGCGGGGGGCTCAGCCCCTGGTGTCCGGGTCGGAGTCTTGTCCTCCTCTCCTGGGTCCACAGAGTCTTCTGTGTCCTCTTCACCCTCAGCCTCACCCCCTGTGTCTGCGGAGACACACCATCATCAGGCACGCAACAACGGGATGGGCTCACTCTGCACATCACTCGCTCCACACTCAATGTCATTCCATATATTTCTCTCTCTCTCTACATCTCTCTCTCCACATCTCTCTCTCTCCACATCACTCTCTTGTACTCTCATTACTCTCACTTTCTCTCCAGATCACTCTCTCTCCCTCTCCACATCTCTCTCTCCACATCTCTCTTGCTCTCCACATCACTCTCACTTCTCCATGTCACTCTCTCACCACGTTACTCTCACTCTCTCTCTCCATGTCACTTTCTCGTTCTCTCACCACGTCACTCTCACTCTCTCCCTCCATGTCACTCTCATTCTCTCTCCACGTCATTCTCACTTTCTCTCTCTACGTCACTCTCAGTTTCTCTCTACACTCTCTTGCTCTCTCTCTCCACATCACTTATTCTCCACCTCACTCTTTCTATCAGTGTCTCTCTCTCCATTTCTCTCTCTCTCTCCTCATGTCATTCTCTTTATTCACGTCTCTCTCCCTCTGCACGGCACTCTCTCTCTCACTCCATGTCACTCTATTTCTCGTCACTCTCTCTATGCCATTCATTCTCTCTCGATGTCTCTCTCTCTCTCCACATCTCTATCTGAATCTCTTTCTCTTTCCACGTCACCCGCTCTCTCCACGTCACTCAATCTCTCTCTCCAAGTCACTCACTCTCTCTTCAAATCTTTCTCTCAATCTCGCTTTCTCTCCACGTAACTCTCTCTCTCATCACATCACTCACTCGCCGCTTCTCTCTCTTTCTGGTCAATACAGTCACCATTTTGTCCTAGTTTTTGGCCATTTAAGGCAGGATTTAAGAATATTTCCAATGTCCTGCACTGTCTTAAATTGTAAGACAATGGTTTGAAGGAGAAGACCATGATGAATTTGAGATCTCATGTCCTGGGCACGTGTCCTGTACCTGTTAGCGAGTGCTGCACCTGTTAGCGTGTGCGGATCCTGTTAGCGTGTGCCGTATCTGTTGGCGTATGCCGTACCTGTTGGCGTGTCAGTGTCGGTAGTTGTGACTGATGTCGCCTCGTTCAGGGCTGGGGAGGGGTACAGTGGAGCAGCTCCCGGAGGGGGCAGGTATGAGACCTGCAGAATGATGGTGGCCTGGAGAAGGAAAAACACACTGATAATTCACATGCTCCACAACAGCATCAAAACCATCAATAACAATAATAATCATTGCATTTGATATAATGCCTTATCACATCGTTGAGACATCACAGAATGTATTGTTAAGTTTAGTGACTGTGTATTTTGTGGGTGAAACACGGCAGCTAATTGCACACAATATTGATTGAGTGACCAGATTTATATTTGAAGGGATTATTATCCCCGGAAAGCAATCCACCAATCCGCTAACAACCGGGTTCCTACTTACTGCTGGGTAAACAGAGACCCAGTGTGGAGTAAGAAAACTTGCCTGAGGTTTCGCCCTGCCCGGGAATCGAACCGTCTTCTCACTTGCGAGGCTAGTGCTCTAATCACTATGCTATATGACTTCACACATCAACAACAACATCATCAACAACAATAATAATAATCCTTGCATTAGATATAGCGCCTTATTATGTAACTGAGACGTCTCAAAGCGCTTCACAGGATATACTGTAAAGTGGATTGACTGTTTATTTTGTGGGCAGGCTGATAGGAAGCGTAGTTGACGCCAGGACACTTTGACTCTCTAGTCAGTGACTAGAGGATATTAATTGAGTGAGTTTGTTGGCTGAACATTCTGGAAGGATGAGAGCACAAAATCACAAGATTGGTGTCCTAGATAAAGAAAGCCCTTTGGCACATCTAATCACATCTCTGCTTTGTAAACGAGTCCCAGTGTCCTGGCCTCAACCACCCTTCCTGGTAACCCCGTTCCAGTCATTAATTACCCTCTGGGTAAACAAACACTTCCTGATGTCTGTCCTGAAATTCCCCTTTACATCTCTAAACCTGTGCCCTCTTGTTCTACTGTCTTGGTACTGTCAGAAGGATCATAGGGTCTTATGAGAGAGTGAAGGAGGAGCTTTGTAGTGTGTAGGAAGAAGGGAAGAGTGAGGATGGTGAAGAGTTCTGTGAAGTGTAGGAGGGAGTCCAACTTTGGAACTCGGTATCACATAGTTAAGCTAACGCTCCAATGCAGTGCTGGGAGCGTGTTGCATTATCGGAGATGCTGTCCTTCAGGTAAGCTGTTAAACCGAAGCCTTGTCTGCCCGTTCAGGTGGAACTTTAAGATCCCATGATCCTATTCAAATAGAGAAGGGAGCTTTTCTCTCCTGGCGTCCTGGCCAACAATCCCCCAAATAAGATTGGTCAATCACTCCAATTGCTGTTTGTGCGACACTGCTGTGTATAATTGTGCTGCTGGGTTTACCTACAAAATACAGTCACTCCATTTGACAGTAAATCCTGTGTAGCGCTTGGAGACGTCCTTCTGACGTGATAAGGTGCTGTACCAAATGCAAAAGCAAGGAGTGAGGAGTCCAGTGGCGGAGGGAGGAAATGAAGAATGAGACACCGTGCTGAGTATAAGAGGGAGCAGGGAGTCCTGGCGAGTGTAGGAGAGAGTGAGGAATCTGAGGCAGGGAAGGAGGGAGCAATGGAGCGAGTCGTTTCACAGCTTTGACATTCTGGGCCTGAATGAGTTAAGAATCGGAAACATTGTGATAAGCCTTGTTTTGAGCTCAGTGAGGAACACAAAGAGGAGGCAGCACGGACACAACAGAACACTTGTGTCTTGTGATGAGACCATCATGTGTGTGTGTGAGGCGGGGAGGGGGAGAGGCAGAGGGAGGAAGCAAAATTCCTTGAGTGCTTAGCTTTCAAACCATTCGCTTCAAGTTAAAGATCGGCAGAATTTGGGGAGTCCTACAACTCTATACAGCCTGAAGGACCTGAGGATACTCGTTGCCACATTCATCTGCAAAACACAGTCACTACACTTTACCCTGAATCCCATGAAGCGATTTGAGACGTTCTGAAGACATGAAAGGCGCCATATTGAATGCAAGGCTTACTAATAATAATAATAATCCATGTATTTGGTGTAGTGCCCTGTCACATCATTGAGACGTCTCAAAGTGCTTCACAGGATATACGGTAAAGTGCTGCGATTGTGCATTTTGTGGGTGAAAAGCAGCAGCCAATTGCACACAGCAGTGTCCTACAAACAGCCACGGAGTGAGTGAACTATTTTATTGCTGCATCCAGAGTGGGCCAGCTGGCAGCCCGCGGGCCACATCCGGCCCTGCCGGTGATTTTATCCGGCCCGAGACCATTTCCAACATTCCAACTCATGCTCCATCCCTCCCTGATAAACCCAGGTCAGCTGCAGGAGCTGGTGGTTGGAAGGACGCAGCGCAGTGAGTGGAAATAATACCAACCACTGTAGTCTGTCAGGGAGGCAAGCGCACCTCTTACCGTCCTTAACAAGTTGATCCTGCCGCTACAGAGGGGAAGAGAAAGGAGGGAAGAGGTGGAGAGGGTAGAGAGAGGGGTGAGGGGGGAGGAGAGAGGGGGGGAGGGATACTCTCTCTCCTTCTCTCCCCCTCTCACTCTCTCGGACACACAAGTACTCTCTCTCACTCCACTTCTCACACCTTCTCAGACTTCACTTCCCTCTCACAGTCCACCTCCCCCTTCTTCTCTCTCTCACACACCCTCTCTCCCTCTCTCAATTACTCTCTCTCACTCTCTCCCACACACACTCTCTCTATTCGCACCCCCAATCTCTCTCTGTTTCTCTCCCCTTCTACCTCACATTCATTCCCTCCCCCCTCATACTCTCTCTCTCCCCCTCTCCCACTCTCTCTCTGCTCTCTCCCTTTCTCAATCAATCTGTCATAGTCTCTCTCTCACACTCTTTTTCTTACACCTCTCTCACAAAAATACACTTCTCTCTCTCCCCCTCTCTCTACCCTCTAACCCCCGTTTCTCCCACTCTAACCCACCTCTCTCTCTCCCTCTAAGCCACCGCTCTCTCTTCCCCTCTAACCCCCCCCTCCCTCCCCCGCTAAACCCCCTCTCTCCCCCTCTAAACCCCGCTCCCCTCTCTATCCCCTCTCCCCCTCTTTTTCCCCCCCTCTCAATCCCTCTCTTTCTCAATCAGCCATGCGGATCACTGTCTGCAGCAGCAGGACAGGACTTAAGCTGCTAAGGATGTGGTTGATGAGATGCCTTCCTGACAGACTTCGGTAATGGCTGGTAATATTTCCACTCTCCAACCGCCAGCTCCTGCCGTTGTCCTGGGAGGACGTTCACCAGGGAGGGAGGGAGTGGAAGTTGGAATGTTGGAAATGGCCGTGGGCCGCATAAAATCACCCGCTGGGCCGTTGTCACCCGCGGGCCCAGTTATTGGACGACGCTGTCTGTCTTAGACTATGTGATTCCAAGTCGTGACTTGGGGCTTGAGACCATGACCTTTTAACTCAGGGGCGAGAGCGCTACCATTGCACCAGGCTCACACACAGACCATTGCCCTCGGAAAGCGACCTGCCAATCAACAACAACAAATTACATTTGTATAGCCCCTTTCATATCAGGAGGATGTCCCAAGGCTCTGAAACAGACTGACAACCGGATTCCTACTTACTGCTGGATAGCGAAACCTTAGGCAAGATTCCTTACTCCACATGCCTCTGTTCACTGAGCGTAAATAGGAACCCGGTTGTTAGTCAATGGGCATATCGCTTTCCAGGGGTACTAATCCCTTCAAAATAATAAAATAATTAGGTCACTCAATCCATGACTGCTTGTGGGCCACTGTTATGTGCAATTGGCTGCCTTGTTTCGCCCCCAAAAATGTGGTCAATCCACTTTACAGCATATTCTGTGAAGCGCTTTGAGACGTATCAACGATGTGAAAAAGCGCTTTATCAAATGCAAGGTTTATTATATATTATATTATTATAGGTAAACAGAGACATATGGAGTAAAGAAACTTGTCTAAGGTTTCTCCCTGTCCAGGAATCGAACCCGGGTCCTCTCGCTTTTTTTCACAATTCCACCTTAAGTTTTAAGACAGAATCGGAGTGGCAGGCTGAGGCTAGGTGGAATTTGGTGGTCCTGTGTTTAGTGTCTGTTATTAGTGTAAACAGTTTAGCCTCCGCTCTGCTATTGCCATGGAAATAATGAGGCTGTGTGCGGCTGCTCTGAATTCTCTGTGTAAGAGAGGCTGGATTCTGACATTCCAGCCTCCAGATTTTCCATCAGCTGTTCACAGCCCAGCTCTGTCATTCCGTGGGCTACACCGTTCACTCGCTCACTCACTTGCTCACTCGCTCAACCTCTCACCTCGGGTCAGGAGGTTGCAGCTTCAAGCTTCCCCCCCACACCCACACTGCCCCATACTCACCTCGGGGATACTAAGGTCACAGTCCAGGCTCACTCTCCTGTGCAGTGCAGGGGGGCTTGTTATAATAATACTTGGATTTGATATCACACCTTATCACATAATTGAGGCGTTTCAAAGCACTTCACAGAATATACTGCAAAGTGGATTGACTATATATTTTGTGGGCGAAACCCGACAGCCAATTGCGCACAGCAGTGTCCCACAATCGTGGATTGAAGGACCAAATTATTCTTATATAAAAAAAATTTGAAGGTATTATTATCTCCGGGAAAGTGATTCACCAATCAACTAATAACTGGATTCCTAATTAATGGTAGGTAAACAGAGGTGTGAGGAGTAAGGAAACTTGCCTAATGTTTCTCCCGGCCGGGAATCAAACCCGGGTCCTGTCATAGCTAATCACTACACTACAGAACCCCACACTGGTCTTTCAGTGTTTCTGAGCAGCCTGTTCCACAGCCTGAGAACTCCCCACCCAACCCATTAAGAACATTCATTTCTATAGCACATTTCAACAGGCACAAACTGGACCTCGGTTTTAATGTGAAGGACGGTGTCTCTTACAACGCAGTGCTTCCCCCAGCACTTCATTGGAGGGCCAGAATGGACTGTTGGCTATGATGCTTTCAATCACAGAGAAGTTTGGTTGTGCCTTGTAAATCAGCTTGTCTTCTCTCCTCTCCACCAGACCCCCACCTCACTCAACTGGAGGTGGTGAGCGGTTTATGAGACTGGAACTTACTTACCCCAGTGCTTTGTTTCTTGGGGTCCAGTAAAGTCAGGTTGTAATTGGCTGCCAAGTTGGGAGAGTTCAGGACATCTTTCAAGTTGGTGTTCACTTCCCCCAGAAACCTGTGGTGAAAACAAATACATTATAGTACAGGATAGGTGTTCTTTATTACAGCTGCTATCCTTCAGATGAGACGTTGAACTGAGGTCCCATCTGTGCCTGGTCAAGTGAACGTTAAAAATCCCGCTGCACTTTTGGAAAAGAGAAGGGAGTTTCTCTATCCCGGTGTCTGGCCAATAGGTTGTTTGTAGGACTTTGCTGTATACAAATTTGCTGCTGCGTTTTGCCTACAAAAGACATTGTCAATACACTTTTCAGTGATTCTTGCGTACATCTTCCTGATGTGAAAGGTGCTATATCAAATGTAAGGATTATTTTTATATTATTTCCTCCATCCACACTCCCAGGTCAGCGACAGCAAGGGTTAGAGACAGAGTAAAACTCCCTCTACACTGTCCATCCACACTCCCAGATCACAGACAGGATGGTGGACTATATTGAGTTCAGATGTCCTGCTGTCAGACTTTCACTGTATCAATGACAGACCTAACTTGAGCGTCAGTGAGTCAATGACCTGGGTTAAGATGGAAAGTTTCAACACACTGTTTTGAACACTCTTTGTTTTATTAATAATAATAATCCTTGCATTTGATATAGACCATTGCACATTGTTAAGAATATACTGTAGAGTGAATTGACCATGTATTTTGTGGGCGAAACTCGGCAGCCAATTGCACACAGCAATGTCCCACAAACAGTTGTGGATTGAGTGACCACATTTTTTTTAAGGGATTATTATGCCTGGAAAGTAATATGCCAAACGACTAAAAATTGGGTTCCTACTTACTGCTAGGTAAACAGGGGTGTGTGTAGTAAGGAAACTTGCCTAACAACAGCATCTTGCACTTATATAGCACCCTCCTAACAGAGTAGCGTCTCAAGAGCGTTTAACAGTGGCGGAGCCTGAATCGCAGCCGGTGGGGGGGACGGGGAGGTGACCATAAGCACGTTCAAAGAGGAAGGTTTTCAGGCGGGCTTGAAAAAGAGGAGAGAGGGGGCAAGCCCAGTAATCGAACCCAGGTTTTCTCGAGGTCAGTGCTCTAACCGCTAAGTTACAGGACTCCACACTCCGTGTTATGAACATTCCACCTTAAATCCTCCTGTGTTGGGGTGAGGTCCCGGCCCCTCCCCTACCCAAATGTGGCTCCAAGTGGCAAATGTTTTGAGAGGATTTAATCTCGGGAATTCCAAACTGGCTGGGACAATGTGCTCAGTAAGTAAACTTCCGTTCTCCTAACCACCACAGCATTCCTCAATCTACGTACTGCCCTTTTCCTGCCTCTCTGCTCCTGCGCAGATTCCCTGCCAAGATGCAGGGAGATGTGGAGCAAAGGGTAAGAGCTGATATCAGCATAGACTGCCCCAGGTCCATTCAAACACTTACACTGACTGTCTGCCTCACCTACTGTCTGCTACGGCCATCACTGTCCTCATAACTGAGTGTGTGAGTGTGTGTCTATGGCTGTATGTTTATGTGTGTGTGAGTCCAAGCGTGTGTCTGTGAGTGTGAGTGCGTGTGTGAGTATGTGTGTGTATGTGCGAGTGTGTGTGTAAAACAATTCTCCTAACCTCTTTCTGTGTTACTGTGATGATAATCTAAAATCCACAACTGTTTGTAGGACACTGCTGTGAGCAATTGGCCGCCGCGTTTCGCCCACAAAATTTATTCAATTCACTTTACAGTACATTCTGTGAAGCGTTTTGAGACAGCTCAATGACATAATAAAGGCGTGATATCAAATGCAAAGATAATTACTATGATGTAGCTCGTGCACAGCCACTGTGCAGCGCTCCGAGGTACTATCCTGCGTGAACGACACTGTACGAATGCATATTGTTGTGGTTACCAACATGTGAATAAAGGGAGAATATTTCTACTAGTCGTTAACAAGAAGCTTAGGAAATACATCAAGGCGATGGGTGGGGGAGAGGAAGGGCGTTGCAGAGGAGATTTACTAGGATGATACCGGGGATGAGTGGTTTGGTCCATGAGGGGAGACTGGAGGGAACTGAGACTTTTTCCTCTGGAACAAAGCGGGATGAGGGGCGACCTGATCGAGGTCTTTAAAATGATGAGGGGTTTTGATAGAGACATTAGGGAGATATTATTTCCACTGGTCAGCGAGTCGGTAACTGGAGGGTTACTGAAGTCAGTGACTAAGATAGGTAGTAAAAGAGGAAGTGGGAGGTTAGGAGAATTTGTGTCACACAGAGTGGTTAGGGTATAAAATGCCTTGCCAGGAGCGGTGGTTGAGACACAATCCATATTTGCTTTCAAAAGGGAATGAGATAGAAAGCTAAAACGAGTCAGCTACAGTCCTCTCGCTCGTCTACAAATCTCTTTAGCTCCTTACCTTTCTGACCTGCTTACTCCCCACTCCACCATTTGCTGGCTCTGGCCTCCTGCTTGTCCCTCGTGCTCTCTGTTTCACCATCGGTGGATGTGCTTTCAGCCACTACACTCCAAAACTCTAGCTCAATCCCTCTGACTTGCCCCTCCTTCCCCATCTTCAGGTCGCACCTGAAGACCTTCTTTTTCAACCATTCCTATGGTCACCTCCTCCCTCCCCTTGACTCAGCATCAGGATTCGCCACTTCCATGACTCTGCCCTGAGTGAAGAACGCTGTGCAATGCAAGTTTGTTTTTGTATGTGGAAAGAGTAGAGAAATGGGCCTGAAAAGATTGCTTTTAAAGGAGCAGGAACAGACACGATGGGACGAATGGCCTTCTTCTGTTTTGCAAATTTCTCTGGTTCTAGGCTATAAACGGAGGATTATCACCAGAGATAGTGACAGAGGGTTGTCAGAAGGTGGAACACCCTGGCTCAGAAAGGGCAGAGCAGCGTTTAAAATTATATTGTTGATATGTTTGTCACATACTGCTATAAGCAGTGAGATTTCACTCAGCCTGGCTGTCACTTGCACTCTCGCCTCACTCAATGAGTTTAAACCCCTTATCGGAGGCTTTGAGCTCACAGTCTAAGCCAATGGTGGCCAACCTGTGGCCCACGGGCCAGAAGTGGCCCCTGGGGCCATCAAGAAGTGCCCCCCACGCACCCAACATTTGCATTTGTCTTAGTGTCATGTAGCATATTTGTTAGTGCACCCGCCTCGCAAACTAGAGGTAGGAACTCATAAGTAGGAACCCGGTTGTTAGTCGATTGGTAGATCGTTTTCCAGGGGTAATAATCCCTTTAAAAAAAATTTGGTCACTCAATCCATGAATGTTTGTGGGACGCTGCTGTGCACAATTGGCTACCGGGTTTCACCCACAAAATCCAGACACACAAACACACACACTGACTCACACACAGAGACACACATACATACGAACACAGACAGCCATCAACAGATACACATACACGGATACAGACACACACACACTCTCACACTCACTCACACACAGATACACACACACACTATATGTATATCTATACACAGCACACAGTCATTCGCACACCGATATACACACACGCACACAGATACACATAGATGCACTCACAGCTACAGACACACACACACAGTGGCCTCTGATGGTGTAGGTAAGGTGGCCATAATTCCCCGATTCCCAGGGACAGTCCCTGGATGAGATATTTTGCCCTTTCTTAAGTTCAGCAACAAACTGAGCAAGAGCAATAAAATTCTAAACCAGATACACTCATCAGAGAAACAGTCATTAATCCAACAACCAGTCATCAGGGATTGTGGTGAGTTCAGTTTGTTCTATCTGTTTCTCCGGATTTGGTTTACAAAGTCTGCTCCCCCCACTGTAAGGGGCATGTAGGGCATGTGGTGTGTGAGCGCTGTCAGAGGAGCCCAAAGCGGGGTCTGCCAGGAGCCAGGGTCACAGAGCAGCCAGAGACATCGCCACACTCCAATTTGAAGTGAATGCAGCTGGTTTGTGCTGGACTCCAGCCAGCTCTGCTCTCTCACTCTGTCCGCACGTTTGCATATTTCTCTTTCTTTCTCTCTCTCTCTGTCTATAATATTTGATAATAATCTTTGCATTTGATGTAATGCCTTATTACATCTTTGAGCACTTCACAGAATAGACTGTGAAGTGGATTGACTATACTTTGTGGGCGAAACATGGCAGCCAAACGTGCACAGCAGTATCTTTTAATTACATTCCATATCCAATTTGACTAAAATTCAAAATAACATGTTCTAGATTCGTTAAACATTTTTAATACAGTATTTTTTGGTTTTGTTGTGTATATAAAAAAAAGTTGGGTTTGAAAGAATATGCAGACAGCAAACTGCAAAATTGATTTTGTTTATTTAAAACTTTTTTTTCTCTTTTAATTACATTTCATATCTCAAAACCTTTTTGGGGAAGAATCTCATACAAATTGCCTTGTGTGAGAAAAGCTTAACATGTCTCTGAGAGCCATTGTGGAGTCCTGTAGCTCAGTGGTTACAGCACTCGCCTCTCAAATGAGACGCCTGGTTCAATTCCCGGCAGGGCGAAACCTTGGCCAAGTTTCCTTACTCCACATGCCTAATAATAATCCCTCAAGAAAAAAAACAATAATTGGTCACTTCAAACCACGACTATTTGTGGGACACTGCTATGCGCAATTGGCTGCCGCGTTTCGCCCACAAATATACAGTTAATTCACTTTACAGTATATTCTCTGAAGCGCTTTGAGACGTCTAGAAGACGTAATAAGGCGCTATATCAAATGCAAGGATTATTATTATTATTATCCCACAAACAGTCATGGATTGAGTGACCAAATTATAATTATTTTTTTGAAGAGATTTTTACCCACTTGAAAGCTGTACCAAACACAAGGATTATTATCCGCCAATCGACTAACAACTGGGTTCCAACTTATTGCTAGGTAAACAGAGGCATGTTGAGTAAGGAAAATAGCCTAAGGTTTTGCCCGGCCCGGGAATCGAACCAGGTTCCTCTCACTTGCGAAGCAAGTGCTCTCTGTAGTATTTTCACTCTGCCCTCCACCCGTCCTGATCCCAACCCCCAGCTGGGGTGATG